GCTGCATCACGTACCACACGAAAGTGGTCTTTTACATCAACTACTTCATATGTCTCCGTTGCTCTTGTGCAATATGATCTATTAACTATATCCTCAACCCTGAGATCAAAGTTTCTAATAATGTGTTGAAGCTCTGCAACTTAGAGCAATTCTTACTACCTATCAACGCAAACATACATTCTATACCATATGTCTCAATATCATCTTATCAACTAACATATAAGAGCGATTCAATGCGAAAGCTAGAGCCAAACTTGAACTTTGCCTTTTATCTCCCAGTCGTTGAACTTTGCCTTTTCTCTCTCAGTCGTTTTAGTGTATGCAGTATTTTGGTTTATGACTATGATTGTGTAATAGCACATCGTTCCTACGATGTATTTTATATAAATAAATATAAATATAAAAGGATATACGTTATGTGGAAAACCTGTTAATTGCGCGAAATCTAGAGTAACTTGCGAACTCAGCAGCACGTTTCAGCGTGATCTTTGCGAGTTGCTTGTGGATGGAAATTGATGTTGTTCACTCAGAATGATCGAACAGTCGTGTTTGAAGAAGAGGTTTGACCGCGGAGGGGTGCAAGATAAAGGTGTGACTAACTTTCAGACCTTTGAAGAAGGCATTAGTGCCGAAACGTTAGGCCTAATAAAGTAGTTATACAGTCTGCCCCAATCGGGATCAGGCCGAACCGTCGGCTGAATTTGCGCTCTCGCAGCGCTAGGGGTTTGCGCTGCATACGCGCGATGTCGCAGAGAGCGAAGAGATTGGGGAGAGAGCAGACTAGCTAGACGCAGAAGTGGCGCGAGACCCTCGCGACGCGCACTCCCGCCAAGCCAATTTTGGCCTGGTTAGGATTGGGGCAGACTGTATCAGACCTGTCTGGCAAAGAAAGCACCTACTCAGATAATCGCCGGGGGCAGGCGGTCCGCAAACTCGCGCTTTTCTGCAGACGGTCAGCAGAACTTTGGGGCGTGGCCAACCTTATGCAGGCGGCACTTTTTTACGGTCGTATATTTTGCCAGCGGGCAACAATACAGCATTTTCTGCAAGCGCTCGGCAAATAATTTCTCTCAGCGATCGCTGGCTAAACTTTCAGCAGGCGCTAGGACCCTTTTAGTTTCGGGCATACGCAGAGTAAAGAGACTCTATGTGGCAGAGGTGTCATCGATGGTTTAATTACTCAAGTTTGAGGTACATTCTTTTAGCGGAAGGTACCTACGGGCTATGCGGTCCTTCACAAAGGACCGTATATCTTTGCATATTCTCGGTCCGCATCCTCGCGGCCACTGCGCCGCAACTAATCTATAGAAAAAACACGATACTTTTCCGAGCATTCCTCTAAAAATTGGCCAACACTCTTTCAAATTTCTGCAAGCGGACCGCATGAAATCAGCGAACTATTTATTTTTCCGGTGCCCGCTTGCTCAAAATTCGCATGGCCGCCTGCCCCCGGCGATTATCTGAGTAGATGTGCAACGCAATGCTCAGGTCTTATCAACAGAGAACGTACGAGACACTTCTTCAAACTTGCCAGAACGCTGCTTTCAAGCACTTTTGAGCTAAGTAGATTGAGAGAAGCGTGGTGGTCTCTGCTCTGATATGAAAGCTGGCCCAGGGGCAAACTCGATTCAATTTTGGGGAGAAAAGCGAAGGGGATATGTTCTGATGGAGTTACTGTTCCAGTCTGACAAGGGTAGATACTTGATAACCGTGGTCATTTATAGTGAGACGCATATCACTAGATTCGCATCAAAACGCGCATTTCAGATCTGCTTTCGCTATCTAAGCGTGTTTAAAATAAGCTATGAGCGTTTCTTTACATAAGATTTCGCATTGTTTCAGCAAAGCTATGAACATTGTTCAAATTTCTTGTTTCGCTCTTCGGAACAACAACTGAAGACAAGCGCATACTTATACCTTCAATAACCTGTTAGTTGCTTTTACCTTCAAAAATGCAATTAATAATAATTCTATGTTTAGTAAGCAAAAAATTTGCGAGAAAGAGCTCATCGCTTAGCAGATGATGAAAACAACGATCAGAAATGCAAGATACATTAATGATACGTGTGATGCCATCATTTATAAGCTCTTCCAAAACGAAGGCGGCCGGTTCGATATGCGACATGGCTGTGACGCGGCTGTGATGCAGCCGTGTCACAGAAGCGTTGCAATGGAACCGACTGCCTTCGTCTTGGAAGAGCTTATACATGATCAAATACGATTTACCATAGGGCGAAAAATACTGTGCTTTAGATGAAAACAATTACTCTTGCAACGAACATCCAATAATAAGACATTAATCACGGTGTGCATATATGCAGAAGGACTGGAGTTATGTAAGGGAATTTTGAGAATTCTTGTGCGAATAAAAGCCCTCTTAAACCTTTGAGATTCGGCACCGTGTTAGCTAAGTTCTAACCAAGCTGACATTTGCTCGCACAAATTTTTGGTTTTTTACAGGGTGTCCCAAAAGTCCTTGAGCCTAGTATTTCCTTCGCTGAAAATGCATGAAGCAACATAGAAGCATGAAATTCGGCAGGGATTTTGCGAAGAGCCTACAAAATAACATGATACACTCAGATTTCACAAAACCCTCCTTTGGCCTTTACACAGGCTCTTAGACATTTGCGGAATGCATGCACCATGGTAGCCAGGTAGTTGACATCGAGATTGTCTCATATCTTCTGAAGCAAGCAATCCAGACTGTCCAAAATTTAGCACGGAATAGAGCAAACCTTGTTTTCCATTACTGATCACAAAAAAGTCAAGGGCCTCTTGTCCCGGCTATTGAAGGCACGTAAATCTGAGAAGCATAACTGTGAGATTTGACAAAAGTGTCAAAATGTAGCATTCAAGTGTTTGAGAACCCCAAGAAAACAGCAACTATGGTGTACCGGGAGTGACTTTGAAGTGGTATTTCAGTAGGAAATGAAGGGCTTACAGCGAGAATTAGTGACTGAAGCTGATTTGGTGCTGGACTTTCCAACTTTTCCAGGTTTTTGTTTCCGAGAACTTTTCCTTCTCATTGGCACGGCACAACTTCAGTGTTTGTATCCTAATCCTACTCTAATGAACGAAGGCTATTGATTGATTTTGCACTGTAAATGTAGAGTGAAGCTAGCTCTACAATATGCAGTTCGAAAGTCCACAAGAGCTCCAAAGGCAAAAGAGCTGTAAATATTTAAATAGAAGGTGCGTTCCCTTCGGCTTGTCTTCACGATTGTAGTATTGTTCGCTTCAAGAAGTATATCTCGAGAATGTACAATGCAAACGGTATGATTTTCTTGAAGAATATTGGCAACTAGACGAAGAACTCAAAGATAAAATTTGGCTGAAAAGCGAGGAATACTAGCAAAGTTACCACGTTGAAAAGTTAGGCTTAAGGACTTTTGGGACACCCTGTACATATGCGCATGTGCCTTACAAGCTACGTACTAGCTCTGAAATAACTTCAAACCCCGTCTTCTCCTCCTTTTAACGCACATAAACGCACATAAAAATCTTCTCGATGCCTGGCGCAGTCCTGTTCAAACGTGGCTCAAAGTCATTCCTGCTTATCGTTAATGTAGATAATTCGAAACACGGACTAAGACATTTTCATCAAAGTGATTTCGAGAAATTTCGCAACCTCAAAGGAGCTTGATTCCACAATAGGTTATAGCTCGTGCTGCGTGGGGATGATATAGTGTCGCTATCTCAATCGCACAGGTTTTAATATGCTCCCCAAGCATTAGATGTAGGCCTTTCCACACATTTTGGCAGTGAGTGAGCAAAGAGGGAGGGGAGGGTTATGATTCACTCTTGAATGCTTCGAAAGCAGGTCTCACCTAAATTGGAGTTGCACGGATCTCCACATAATCTACATCCCCTCAAAAAAGCCAGTGCAAGAAGTTCGACTCGCTTTGACTCCCCTTAAACTGAGAAAAATGCGCTCAAAGTGGTCCGCACCGTGCGATTTGTTCCAACGGCCGACTCGGCCATCTCTCCCCTTGGGGTCTATGTCGAAAGGCGCGCGTTTCGGCGGTGATCATTGCCAGAAGAGAATTGACGCTACAAAAGCGAGGTTTCCAGACTCCGAAATTTTTGTCATTATATCAGAAAGCGTAATGGAGGATTACTATATGGAACTCAGAAAAAGCAATCTAAATTTGGCCTTTTTTCTTGCTTTTTCCAGTTACTGACTATCGATCAGTGCGCGCCATTCGACCGCCTCCCCATCCCTTGCGTGTTTCAACACGTCCTCAGACACTCGCGGTTGACGACCGCCGGTGAAAGGGAGTTCGACTCATTGACAACCTGCGGTACACATCCTTTTGTTTCGGGATAATCCGGCTATTGGTTCGGGACAAGACTGCCGGAGAAACGCCGGTCGAACAGGTTTCACCTGCGTTTGGTTCGGGATTCACCTGCAGCACATGTTCGGGTCGAACGCAGGTGAAACGGCGGTGAAATGCAGGAGTCCCGAACCGACCATGGGGCGTGGAATTAGCCGTAGAGCGCACTTGATATTGTTCAAATTTCTCGCATACATTGTATACTATGTAAACAACAGAGACTGAATCAACGGAGATTTATTCACCAACTCAACACAAAACCATAACAAATGATAAGGAAACTCGTAACAACAGAATCGCAGCAGCAAAATTATACATTCCTGAGCAAAAAGAGAAAAATCTAGTGTCAAGAACAGAATCGCAACAAGAAAATCATACATAACATAAGGAATGCATTGAATTTCCGTTCAATGAGTGAACACAACAGCAAGAATAAGCGATTGCTATGGACTGAACATCATGATATAAGTAGATAAAAGCAAGTTTTGTTACATTGTTTGTGACATGGATGATTGTGAGGCAACTTCATACTCTCAACAACAAAATCACAACAAGAAAATTACACATTCCTGTGCACAAGGTAGCATTCGATAAAGTAAAAAAAAAAGACTAAAGAAATGGCTAGAGTTTAGTGAAGAGATCTCTATGTTATTCAAAGGTAAAAAAGGTATATACTTCGCTTGAAAAGGGAAAAAATTTAAGCACCAGCACTTTCAAACATACTGGAAACAGTTGAGACAGCTGCGATGGCATTACCCAGAGAGGAAAGGATAGCGATAGCCGATAGGGATAACGCATAACGATAGATTTAGCGATAGCAACAGCGCTAGCGCATCAAACCAATTTCTTCTTTGAAACACATTCTTCCCCAAATCAGCTCAATATCTAAACTTGCACTGAATATGATATCTTCTGCAATTTCCATGGTGAAATTTACCTTCTATAAATTCTGCAGGCGATAAAAGCAATTCACCGCCAAATAATCCGAGTGCTACAAGCACGAAATCTGAGATTTGAATTCAACTCCTTTAACTGGTCTCTAGAAAACGTGCCTATGAAATAGGTGACTAGTGACTCAGGAAGGTCCTTCAGCCTTTTATCCTTTTCGTTTTTACCAGATTGTCGAAAAGCATATTCTCGAATGGCGCGGCTGGGATCGCATGCCTAATCACATGTACCTGTCTAGTATGACTCCATCACATCAGTCACACCAAAATGCGGAAAAAATTTAGCCATATAGGAGCCTCCTTCTTGTTATCATCACATGAATACGTTACTCCTTGAGATAGAAGAGGCCTGGAATCCAGGCTACGTACATCATCTGCATGGCTTTGCAGATCGTGCACAAGCGTATTGTGCCCCTAGCATGAGGTGTACTCGGTTCCTCAGTATCTGCTCTGGCTGCACCATTGCCATCTTCAAGCCGATATGGTTTCGCAGGAGGACAATTAAGCCCATCTAATTGCTCATCATACTGACCTTGATCATGCGCCTAGGTACTGACCTTTCGCTTCCCGCCTACTGTGGGTGTAACGCCTCATCCCTAGCTGTAATTGACTCAGCGCAGGTAGGACACTGGTACTACCATCACATACGCCATTGAATGGTTCTGCCCCACTCTCGGAAAGCAAAGCGTCACGAATACCCGACGCACACGGATTATTTGGCGGTGAATTGCTTTTATCGCCATGGTACATGTGATTAGGCATGCGATCCCAGCCGCGCCATTCGAGAATATGCTTGTCGACTATCTGGTAAAAACGAAAAGGATAAAGGGCTGAAGGACCTTACTGAGTCACTAGTCACCTATTTCATAGGCACGTTTTCTAAAGACCAGTTAAAGGAGTTGAATTCAAATCTCAGATTTCGTGCTTGTAGTACTCGGATTATTTGGCGGTGAATGGCTTTTACCGCCTGCAGAATTCACACAAGGTAATTTTTACCACGGAAATGACAGAAGATATCATATTCAGTGCAAGTTTAGATATTGAGCTGATTTGGGGAAGAACTTGTTTCAAAGAAGAAAATAGTTTAATGCGCTATCAAAACCGCGAGCAGACTGCCCAATACATGCGCAATAACCCTTTGCAAATCTTTGTAGAGGCCGCAATCCTTCTGAGAGTGAAAAAGCTTTTGTATTGCTATCGAAGAGAGTCGGCATGTCGCTACCAAAATACTAAAGGCCATCAAAATCCATGTCAAAAAGAGTGATTTTGATTCAGCATATGGAACAGAAACCAAGTTTCGGAAGTACAACAGTTAACAAAGAAGTACGACAAAGAAAATGACGTGCTTCAAAAATCAGTAAGCCATAAGCAAGGCTGGCTGTATTACCATCATGAGCTGCCACAAATATATTGCTGCCTTATTCCAGCTCTGATGCAAAGAGAATTGCTAGGACTAGCTTGAAACCCTTTCATTACTCACAGCTTAGTTATTCCTGTGTTTTGTCCAGTTTGAACAGCGTAATGCAACGGAGTATAACCATCTTTATCGGTTGCATTCACATCTTTTCGCCAATCTCCAGTATTATCCCTAAGCAAGATATACTCATTTACAGTCATAAAAATAGCACGAGTAACGAACAGGAAAACTCACTGAGAAGCTCAGTTTGGGAAGCCATAGCTGCGTAGTGTCTTACAGTTCTCCCACATGAGTCGCATAATTTGAGATTTGCTCAAAGTATCTCTCAGGTCTCTACAGCCCGATTGAAAGGCAGCAGAAGGGGAACCAGCTGAAAACAGATAGGTGTCAACCAGAGTAAATCACAGAAATTATCTATGATAAGGGAGTATGGCGAGACATTTAAAAAAAGAACAATGCAGAAAGGTTTGCAAAATACCTCTCTACCTGATGATGCAGAAGCTCAATGAAGTTCATGAATGCCGTTCCCTGCGTTACCGTTCCGACTGAGACGCCTGAATAGTGCGAGAATCGTCTAGCATAAGTCTGAATAAATATCAAAGAACCTAATGTATACTACTTTAGGAACATAAACCGAAATCATGACTAAAGTTGAAGATGTGAGCTTACCAGACTGCTTCGCCTGGCTACAGTCGTAGCAAACGGCATTGGGAAAGCCAGCATTATACCATATTGATTTGCACTCATCATTTGCGTAAAGTATTGTTGCATCAATTTCTGGTAGTGAGCTGGCGAGAAGAAAAAAGCCGCCATGCCTGTCGTATCAACAGCGGCAGGGCCAATGTTTGAGCCTTCGGGTATGATTCCTTGCGTGAACTGGGACATGGACGGATTTGCGAAAAATGGCCATCTCTGCAAGCAAAATAATCGAAAAATTGGATCCAATCTTTGTTGAAGCCAGGGTCAAGCGTCTGAAGCGACTGTCGCAACCGGGGGTCGTAAAGGGGGCCTACGGTGAGGGGAGGATTCGTAATGGGGGGTAGTTTGGGTAAAAAACCGTACGATTGAAAGCAAATCAGATAGCAAGTAATTATTGTAAGGAACATAACTAACTATCTGATTTTTGATTCCCTTTTAGGCTTAGAGTATTTTAGCCTAAGTACCTCCTCTTAGGGGGGAGGGGGGTCGTACGAATGGGTACCTTCAAGGGGGGGGGGGGGTCGTAAATAAGGGTCCAGGATCGCATCAATATGCTTGACCCTGGTTGAAGCGTGTCTCGATGGAGTGCGCAGCTCGACAAGTCTAGGCTTACTATTCGAATTCGAGGTCAGAAAGAATGCTGCAGGATGCCGGGTTTAATTAGCTCTCTAGCAGATGCATTTTGCACAGATGCACAGATGCACATGCAATGCCTATGTATGGCACGAAACTTGATAAGTATCGCACATTTTTAGACGACAGGTCGAAAGTAAGTATAACTTTGAAAGAGGGCTAAGTTCTTGGACGAAAAACACGTTTCAAACAGTACAATTCAGTCAAAGAAGAGAAAGGCTCCTGTGACAGCGGAAATTTGAATATGTTCATTGTAATCACCAAATTTCTAAAAAATAAAAGAAATAGCGGCAATGCATGGAACAGTGGATCAGCGAAATAGCCGAGAAATCACATCATGCAACCATATGTGTTGAAGTTGAAAGAATAATAGATATTATTCTGACTTACATTCAGCCGAGTCTTTTAATCTCAGAAACCTAAAAACAACCCGGATTGCGAAAGAAAACGAGGTTTCCTTCGCAAACACGCTGGGAATATACGAAGCTTTAGGAAACAGGCGGAACACTTGAACGTGTGCTTGAAGCCGGCTATCCTCGCTGCATGCAGGCGATCGATTGTATTGATACGCGTCGGGACAATCCCGACGCAATTGCCGGTGAATCGGGACAACCGCAGGACACAACTTTGTCCCGAAACAAAGCGAAAGTGGGCGGATCTCCGGCGGTCGTCAACCGCGAATGTCTGAGTCCTTCCACTCCCACTTCTCGGTGTTACTGCTGCCGTAGTGGAGAGTAGGACGAAAAGGCACAACTTTTTCATGTTGCTTCCACAGGATCTCCAGGAAAGAGGGTTTTTGGAGATCTTGATTGCGATTTTGAACCACAACAGAGTATGACAGGTCCGAAAGGCCTGTAAAATGCAGAGACCTCGGCAACCAGATTTTGGTGAAACACAGCCTTTCAAACACCAAATCGTAAAGAAATTTCTTGCATAACGAGTTTTGCTGAAGAAGGTCGGCGAAACAATTGGTTGTCATGCATAAGGAAAAGTATTCAAAACAACTGCATCATTCACTTATTCGCATTGAAACAGTAAAAATCTTTCCAACAATTCTCTTCGTCTTTTTGAACAACAGTCGTGGATGAAATATGCGCCGGAACGATCTGTTGAAAATGATAAGAATGATGCTGAAATATATCGTTTTTTCGTAATATTTCAGACTGTGCCTCCTTACCCGTTGCTGGTCAATATCAGCTCCCAGTTGAGTGTGTTCACAATGGTCAGTTGCAGTCTCGTTGTCGCGATCATAGGAAGAATATAATACGAAACAGTCGCCATCATCATCAAGACTGCGCTGACGCAACCCTGAAAGTCGAAAAAGAGTAATAATAACTACTGACTGATGTTTACAAAAGACATGTGAAATTGGGATCAAGTCTTCTTCTCAACTTACGATACGGCCAGTGACGTGGAGACACAGAGGTGCCATTCGCCAACATTTGCAACGGCACAGACTATTTGTGCGGATTTTGATTCTGTTTTCGAAGAGGGGGAAGGGGTACTTAATGCACCGTCTACTACTACATTCATTCGTTGCTGACAGCACAGTGCATGGTTGCAGTACCGTTTACCCTTGCCATCAGCAGTAATTTATGTGCTTAGACATTTTGAAACTTCTATGCAAAATTTTCAACAAATAGGTGAGAAACAACCCAAGAAATATACCGTGTTTTTTCAAATTGACGCATAACTAACACACTCCGTGCCGGGTACCTCAGCTTTCGGTAGTGCAATAGATGGAGCGCGACAGCAAGCTGTTTAGAATGTGCTTTCAGCTGCAGACAGAATGAAGGTTTGACACTGTGAAATAAGTTGTGTTGCAAACACCAATTTCCAACGCCATCCTTCTACACCCCCCCCCTCTTTCCCCATCTCAAGAATAAAGCCATAACTTTGCGATCAGTGCAGAAAGAATGATGACACAACTTCACAAGGAATACCTCTCTTTCACTTTCCTAAATTCAGCAAAGATGCTTGTTTCACAAAGGTGTTTCAAATGGGTCATGATGCGTGTGTTGTCCCGGAAGTTCCGTCGTCTCATTTTTGAAAATTTGAAACCTTTCGCTTTTTCGACGGATTTGTTTCTTTGTAATTTGATTGAAAAAGAAGATCCTTTCGCTCTGTGAATGTGTCTTAATGAGCTACTAAATACCATTTGCAGAGATGAAATCAAAAAAGATAACCGTGTAGACTTTAGACTTTTATTGAATTAGATTGTCAAAAATTTGGAGTGTGATGGAAAATTATGAAATCGTCAATGCATACGATTTATGAGTGCTGTTTGGACGTTTCTAGTTATGAATTCCGGATTTACAATAGAAAACGCCAAAATTATTGATTTGTCAGTTTTCTCAAACTTCATGCGTTTCTTAGCGACGTTTAAACAGCACAATTATTGGTTGCAGAAAGTAGGTTATAAAACTAATGCACTGACGATCTTAGATTTTTCCGCAACGTTCGAAATTTTTGGCATCTTAACTCAAAATGACCAGAGCTCGAATTTTTTTTCTTTTTTTTTACTTTTATCTAGTAGAAGCCCATCAAGATACAATCAGAAATATGACTTTTTCTTCCCAGTAAAATTACAAAGCAAATCCTTCGGAACAGTAAAGTCACGAAGTTTCAAAGGAAAAAACCACAGGACTTTTGAGAAAACCTAATATTTCGATTGTAGATGGTCAATTTTCTCGATTCTACGAACTACTAAAGCAGCCGTACCTTTTTTGAATTGTGAATAAGGTATGCGAAAATTGAGAAGAAAACGCGCCAAGGAACTTGAGAGATTTCCTGTGGCTTGGTGCAAGCTGAAAGAGATTGTTTCTCGCATTAGAAAAAAATTTTGTCGTCACTTTCCTGAAGCCATGAGATATCCTGCGGATTTCGCATGAAAACTCGTGTACTGCTTTTCTTAGCTAAATTTCAGCTATCCATGTGATCTAGAGATTCTTCATTGTCGGGGAAATGTCACTGTCTACGTGCAAGGTAGAGGACCTTTCTTTTTTTACTTCTGCATTCTTCCCTCGGACGAGGTCTGCTGCTCTTAGTTTTCCATACTTCTCGCTTTACAGCTTGATATTCCTCTATCTCAAGTCCTCCAAATTTGCCTGCACTTTGTCCATCATTCTCAACTTTGGCTTTCCTCTTGGCTCCTTTCCGGGTACTTGTTATTGCCAAACTAGCGACACATGCATGATTTGAAATGCCTGTACTATCAGAGTTCTCATGTGATCTGGCAATATCTGAGATGTTTGCAAACCACTGCGTCTGCATAAGCGCACAACTTTTGTAAGCTTATGAGTATACTAGCTGGCTTACCCGGCTCCGCCGTATCCGGACCAAACTTGGCACACATACACTTCGGGCCCCGGCGGGTGTCACAGTCCACTTTTCGTTATCGATCGATGTCGATTTTACCGATTTTTATCGATTTTTTGCAGAGTTCACCTACAGGGCTAGGAGTTGGCACAGGGGGGAAGTGAGCATGGGGATTCCGAATACAATATTAGTTTTCAGAATTATCGATTACTTTTATTGATTTTATCGATTTTTTGTAAATTTTGACATGCGAGGCTGGGATTTTGCACACGGGGGTAATCGAGCATGCGATTACGAACACAATATTAGTTTTCAGGATCGTCCATTACTTTTATCGATTTTATCGATTTTTTTGTAAAGTTTGACCTGCGGGGCTGGGAGTTTGCACAGGGGGTAATCGAGCATGCAGATTACGAACACAATATTAGTTTTCAAGATCGTCCATTACTTTTATCGATTTTATCGATTTTTTGAAAATTTGAGCTAGGGGGCTGGAATTTGGCACAGGGGTGTAATCGAGCATGCTGATCATCCCCAAGGGGGGTGATCAGCATGCTCGATTACCCCCCTGTGCGAACTCCCAGCCCCGTAGCTCAAACTTTGCAAAAAAATCGATAAAATCGATAAAAGTAATCGATAATCCTGAAAACCAATATTGTATTCGGAATCCCCATGCGCGATTACCCCCCTGTGCCAACTCCCAGCCCCGTAGCTCAAACCTTGCAAAAAAATCGATAAAATCGATAAAAGTAATCGATAATCCTGAAAACCAATATTGTATTCGGAATCCCCATGCTCGATTACCCCCCTGTGCCAACTCCCAGCCCCGTAGGTGAACTCAGCAAAAAAATCGATAAAAATCGATAAAATCGATATCGGTCGATGACGAAAAGTAGCCTATGACACCCGCCGGGGACCGTAGTGTATGTGTGCCAAGTTTGGTCCGGATCGGTTCAGAAATGGAATTTTCTATTCGGAACATACGTACAGATAGACAGACAGACAGACAGACAGACAGACAGACAAACAGACATTCAGCTTTATATATAAGAAGATGCCAAATCGTGCCCGCATATGCGTTTATGGAGAAATATAAACGTTGCAATTCGAAATCGCATAGACCAAATATGCGCGAGATATGACCGATGTCAACTCCTATCACTTAAATCAAATATAGATGTTGCTAATATGTTTGCTATATGGCTGATTTGAGCTTACGATGTCGCTCAAAGAATGTAGCGCTAAATTGCGGATGATAATCAAGCGGAGGCTATCATCTTGTATTATAGCTAGCCTTTTGCTTACTATGTGCTTCACTCAGACGAAACCAGTTTACCATTGCTCAAGCGATAGTGATGTCTGCATCTCAGTGGCATGTGCTTAACAAATTTTAAAGATTTGATCTAATTTACCTGCATAAAGAAAGGAATGTTGCCTTTTAGCTTAGATAGCTGCCTCTCCTTGAATGAACCACTGGTATGTCGCAAAAGCTAAAAGGTCAGCAAATATTGGGCAATAAATAATCAATCATGTTTCTTCGTAGCTACGATTATGTTTATTTCAAATCAAATTTATGGAGTCATAAGATTACCTTAATCCGCTTGCGAAGATGGTGGAAAGTGGTGACGTTGATAGAAATTATAAGTATACACATAACCATGGTGTCAATATTATTGACTTTATCTGATATGGCTGTGCAGTACGTGTCGTAATGTTTGAAAGTTAGGGTTTCAACGTCAAACAAAACCCAGCAGTCATCTGGATTACTACATCAATGAGATCTTCTCTATAAGCGTCACTTCGGACTCACACCAAAATTGACTTGTTGTATGAAGGAAGGATAAAATCCACGTGAAAGCGATCAAATAAACCAGATTTCTTCCCGTGAAAAACTTGCTAAAGCAATGTTAAGATATAGTAAACCTTATGTTGTCTACTTCAACAGCCTTTTTAGTCATCTGCTCCAGCTCAGAAGTTTCGAGTGAGCTTTAGCCATATTTATTGGCTGGAATCCAAGCAAAATGCGCAATAACGATGTCAAGTCGTGTAACTTGCAGTGCCATATCTTTGATGAAAATGGGGCTCGGCAGAAGATCGGTGTCCGTGTTTTTAAAATTTGACTGCAGATTGTAAAACTTTCTTTCGAGCTTGTGATGGTCATGTAGGACATTTTTGGTGGCTTAAAGGCAGTGGATCGGCAAAACTTGACAACCCAGGATCTCAACGCAGTAGGTTCCTTATCGTCCAAGTATGAAAACAGTGCAATCCCGGTTGCACAGCATGCCTTCCCTGTCGAGGAAATCGCTCTCAGATTTATACGCGCAAGCCAATCTTACACGCACCCGGACGAGTTGGCAACTTCCTCCTCACCATTGGAGGCTGTCCGCCGCAGTGCCATAATCATTGGGTCCCGCAAACGATTTAGCGCCATCCTTTGCTCCACTCGTCCAATCTTGAAGGGAAGGGGGTTGAAAACCGCTCGTTTTCGCCGTTTTCAAGCTTTCTAAGGTGGATTTTCGTGATCAGCGTATTGAATAACCCCAGGTAAGCGAAAATTTGACTAAGTTGAGATTTGCCGAGCCACTGCCTTTAATGGCAGTGTCTCACCAAAGTTGAGGTCGCGCGGATCTTCACATATTCTATTATAGGGACCTCTAAATAGGCCATTGCAACAAGTCCGACTTAATGTGACCCCATCCATGCTGAGAAAAATTCGCTCAAAGTGGTACGCGGAGAGCGACTTGGTACGCGCGGACGAATCCTTCTCCCCCCTTACGCGTATGAACATGTCCCTCCACTTGGCATCCACCTCCTTTCTGTTGCTGCCGCTGTGGCTGAGGGTGAAGTTGGAAGGCACAACTCGTCCAGGTTGCTTCCGCGTGGCCTCCAGAAAACGGGGTTTTTGGGAACTTTGTGCGATTTTAAGCCCATACAGTGCTAGACAGGGTCCGATAGGCTTGCAAAATGCAAAAATCTCGGCAACTAAATTTTGGTGAAACACTGCCTCTAAGGTTCAATTAACATAGCGGGTGAATCCGAAAGTTCGTGCCGTTTCCTGGATCTATCCTCAGATCATTCAAAATAAAGAGATAGACAACACTTTAGAAAGTGTTCTATGCAGAATCTTTTCCGGGTTACAGCACAATATTTTGTTCGGATTCCTTCAATGTTCTTTCAATCGCCACAACTTCCCCATGCATTTTATGTACAGTCGAGTAGATTTTCCGCTTAATATAGTGTGCTTGCACAGTTTATGAAATGCGGTAAAATTTGCGCGTGAACAGGTAGCTACGCCAGCATTGCCGGCATTTTGCGCGCGCAATTGGCCGGCGTCACAGTCGAAGCTATTTCCTCACGAGCAAATTTTACCGCATTTCACCTTCTGTGCAAGCACACTATATTAGGCAGAAAATCTACTCGACTGTACCCTAACTTTAGCTTTTTCTGAAATTTTCGTTCTAGACTTATGGAAATGCTTCGACAAAAGTGGGAGCAGAAGATGCTGCATTTCATCAATCTGCGAAAGCTTTACATAATGTGGATTTGTCGTAATTGCAGGTGATTTGAGGAGATCTGGCCAGATTGCATGGCGACGGAAATCGCGTGAGGTATGCCCGAGGCCTTAAAGGCACCGTGCACCCAGATTTTCGGCTTCCACGTTTTTGTCGTTTCAGGGCCTTCTCATGTACCTGATTCCGAATATGAAGTCGAGAATGCGCGAAAACCCCGACAATCCCCGTTCCGGGAGAACCCACAGGCCGGCTTTCCGCAAGGTGATTGAATGGGCGCGCACAAATGGTTGGCCTGGATGGGGGTCCTCGTGCATCTTCGTTATTCCGGAGCGATTTTCTCGCTTTCGAAGCGGCATTTTGCGCTGCGACTTGGGCATTGGATTGATAGGGGGCCCTGCTATTATATGCTGCCAAAAGCTCAATACCCTTAATTTAGGGTGGATGGTGCCATTAAAGGCAGTGTCCGGGCAAAAACTCGATTTTGCGATTTTGTGCTTACCCGGGCCTATTCGCTATGCTGAATCCGAAAATCCACATTGGAGAGTGCGAAAACGACGAAAAAGGGCTCTAACACTGGAGGGAAATCAGCAAGTGGGCGGGGTCTTCCCCACTGTGAATTCGCGCTTCCAGCTTCCAGAGCAATTTCCTCGAATCCGTTAGCCACCCTGACATCACTACCGATCAAGTGCAAACGAATGACTTGAAACCGGAATCAAAAAGATCGCCCCCGAAGCTGGGAGCGTGTTTACCGTGGGGAAGACCCCGCCCACTTGCTGATTTCCCTCCAGTATTAGAGCCCTTTTTCGTCGTTTTCGCGCTCTCCAATGTGGATTTTCGGATTCAGCATGGCGAATAGGCCCAAATAAGCACAAAATCTCAAAATCGAGTTTTTGCCCGGACACTGCCTTTAACAAATTATTTGTGTTGAATTTTCATGGAACATCAGCAAACATTCCGTGAGTCTGTAAACTCCAGTGGATTTTTGTATTATTTCCTGCTGCAAGTACTCCGTACCAAAGAGCACAGTATGCTGTGATTGCAATTGAGCTTTCGTACCGACACACGCCACTACCTTAACACATTGACGACAAGGCCGATTTTTCGATTACTGCCATTTCGGACAGGAGCCTCTTTTGCTTTGCCGAACTTACGACCCACCTGTGGGTCGTATTGTCCGAAATGGTAGTCTTTTTGGAAGAAACTCAGAACATATCTCCGAGAATTTCCCCACAAGGGTTATCGAACGCGCTGATTGTCAAAAATGATTTATTCCAGTTTTTGGCGTTATACGGTAAGGTTACGATAGTCATTCTGTACGAACCCAACATCATGGATTTTCATGAAAATTTGTGTATTGGGGTTATTTCACGTGCTGATCACGATCATAGTGTCCACTTTGTTCACTACATTCTCTCGGTGAGATTACGGTAGCAGTACGGTAGAATCTTCGTAGAAATCAAGAGACTGATGTTAGAAGGTGGTATCAGAACTTGAGACTATCATTTTCGTAATCAGCATGCTACAAAACTTATATATGCAAAGTTCGAGCTTCCTAGGATGAAAAATGCAAAATTAATAATATCAATAAAATCGATAATTTTTTGGTGGGTTAACGTCAGCCTCTTGCCCGCCCCGTATTACTCTTACATGTAAACTTGATTCTCCAGAAACAGCATCATTTTGCGAAAAATTTGAGCTAATGCTTGTGCCTTATATATATCTACCGTATACCTACCGTAACATTACATTACAGTATCCCGAGCCCGGACCACTCTGGCTAGAACTTCATCTAAGTGCCCCCAATCATGTGCCAGAACCCCGTAGAATTCCGATGGGTCGTATTGTCCGAAACGGCAGGACACGTACGACCCACCGGTGGGTCGTATTGTCGTCAATGTGTTAAAGCGCTTCACACAGTCTGTGTCCTAAGATTCTTCCCATGAACCCTTGCAATGCAACCATTTACTACCCACGACGCATTGGCACACGAGCATCGTAGTTCGAACGCGAAGGAAAATGCACCAAAAAGCGCAAAGGCGCGAAAGAGCTGCTACTAGGGGAAGAATGTTAACAATAAGACACAAGCCATACGCTTCGCATGACTCTACGTCAGAAGACAAGCGTAGTAAATTTCTAAAGTAACCCCAACTATTGAATTTTCCGAACTTCAATACATTTAAACATACTTTTCCACCTTTTCACAAAAGTTATGAGAAAGTTACGCCTCATGAGGGCGCCAAAGCATTGCTACTCTAGCGCAACGCGGTGCTCTGTAGCTACACCGTTGTATACATTGCGTCGTCGTCATGGCTAATACAACCGCGTTCGCGCCCGTAGGTTTTGCGCCTCTGCCTAGCAGTAGACCTTGTAATATGCTGGTCATTGATGAAGTTGTAAAATTAAAGCCGCAAACAGGACGTAATTTTCATCTTCAACGCTTTGGAAAACTTACTTGTAAGCGAATGGCCAAAGAACGATTATCAACCGGCTTAACGCAATTTGCAGATGGCAATATACAAACTGATACCAACACATATGCGTTATTTGCCCGAACCTTGCACCAATAAAAGTCTCCGTGGTTGTTTTACCAGCATCACTGGAAGACATTTCAGTACATATCGTCATCACGTGGAGATTAAACTCACAAAAGCGTCAGTGGTCCTGTCCAGAGTATCCCGATAAGAAATAAGCAGGAACCAGCAGCTAGATTTGAGAAACATATGTAGCCGAACGCATTGTGAAATGAAGGAGTTTTCAGTATTAGCGTCATAACAGCGGCGTTGACCAATATTCCTACCACTGCTGCCTGAAAATGGGAAGGATGGAGTACACTGTCTCAGAAGCGGAGAAGTTTCTCTTACCGTAATCATAATAATTCCAGTTGCAAGGCTATCAGCGCTGACGAATTCGAGCGACTCACTATTCATCGCCTAAAATTTCTGGCTAGATACGTGCTGCTTGAGATAACTAACATAAGATACATAAGAATGGCTTGAAGGAAGTGCGCCTGAGCGGACTCCCTATGCTGACTGACTCAAACAAACCAAGTGATATTACTATTCACACTGACGAAAACAAATCTAGGCGTTCTTCAACGCTACTGTTGCATAGATAACTAGTCTACACCATAGATAGTGATGCGGCAGCTATCATCCTACTGTAAAAAATCATCTGATGCACTCTTCTTCTCTTGCTTTTTTGCAGCAATCAGCGCTAGTTTCAGAAGTCTGAACATAAGTGGCGATGCTTGTCGCAAGCTGAATGCTCATAAATTATTATTATTTAACAAGAAGCGAACACCAACTCATATCTCCTAGGGAAGCAACTGTTCTTAACCATATGTGTGTTTTTAATTTGGGGATCACATTAAAGGCAGTGTCCGGGTAAAAACTGGGTTTTGTGATTCTGTCTTATACGGGCCTATTCGCCATGCTGAATCCGAAAATCCACATTGGAGAGTGCGAAAACGACAAAAAACAGCTCTGGCGCAGGAGGGAAACAGCAAGTGGGCGGGGGTCCTCCCCACTGTGAATTCACGCTCCCAGCTTCCAGCGGTCTTCTCTATTTCGCTAACCGTCCTAAGATCGCTACCGGCCATGTGCGAATGATTGACTTGAAAACGGAAGCGAGAAGATAGCTCCGGAAGCTGGGAGCGTGAATTCACAGTGAGAAGGATTCCGCCCATCTACTGATTACCTCATGTGTTAGAGCCGTTTTTCGCCGTTTTCGCGCTCTCCAATGTGCATTTTCGGATTAGCGTAGCGAATAGGCCCGGGGAAGCACAAAATCTCAAACTCGAGTTTTTGCGCGGACACTGCCTTTAAGCCTGGAAAATTCTTAGGTGACATTCCCAAAGTTGCTAATCCACAGTTTTGAAAGAGGATTTTAAACATAAAAGACGTCAGTTTACAAAGAATTACAGATATTCCAGACATTAGCGACTCCCAACACACAAACTCCATCAAAGGAATTATTACCAAGTCGACAACTAAGTTCTGCAGCTTTTTCCGCGGTTATTCAATATGTCTTGAGCTGGAAATGCAGCCTCATTGTTCGGCAGTTTCTGCCATTACTCTTACTTTAAGTACTATGAAAGGACAAAAGCTACAGGTTGTTACAAATTTGCTGGAACTTGGTCTGAAAATGTTATATGACATGTTGATGACGAAAACAATACCAGTACTGCATGTACGCCCTCTTCTGCATGACCGCGATTCACGGCGGTTTTTCACAGTGAACATGGCAATCTTCAGCTTGAGGGGGCCAGAACTCATCTTATCTTCAACTTCCATTTCTTTCTTTCATGAGGTGGGTGAGTCAATCTGTACCAGAGGTGCGATAGGGGGAGCCAAGTCTCCCCCTACCTTCACTTTTGAGCTGATACAGAGTGACCACCTTCACTTTTGCGAAAATTTTTTTGTTGAATATAAAGAAGGAAAATAAGTAAAACAAACGCAAAAGGGATTATTGAAGGCATATACATATGTATTGCAGTTTTAGGAACTCGCCGTCACCCATCGGAAGCGAAGGCCATCACCGCCATGGACGCATCCACTTTTCCGCCTTTCCACGAAATCGGAGAAGATAGCTTCGGGACGAATTTCGATTCAAAAAGCTATGACCAAACGGTCCTCTTTAGGGCCAACAATTGACCCAACGGCCCTCTTTAGGGCCACAGATACGATGAACACAGCGGCATAAATATTCGAAATAAACGTGTCAATGAAATGGTGTATTTTGAAGTGAAACTCAACGACACTCTACAGATTTTTTTAAGTAAATTTAGTTATGTCGTACTGCGAAGAAAGTAGGTCGATCCAGGAAGTATTTGCCGAGAACCAGAATTTTGAATGAAAAAATAACCAGAAATCATGCAAAATTGCCACTGTTATAAACCAAGTGGTTGAAGATGTCAGCAACTGCGACTTCATAGGTTTTAAAGGGTAAGTGTTGCTCTAACAGATAGTGAAAGAATCGGGTCGATTTGAGCAGTGCTCGCTGAGAACGAGAATTTTGAAAAATTAGGCGATTTTAGGCTAATTTTTGACTGCTGACATTTGAACTCCTAAAACTCTTGATTGTGAAGATGTGTGATGTTGCGACTTCATAGGTTTTCTAGGGTAAGGTTTGCCCTACTAGAATATATCTTACCCGTACCAATTCATCAAAGCACCGCCGAGATCCAGGCTCTTGAAAAAGCAGGTAAAAAACAGCTTTTTGAACTTCAACAGCTCGTAACTTCTCCAGAACTGCATGAATCATGTTGCGACTTCATAGGTTGAATTCTTCTTATCAAGAGCTTTCAGATGATGTATAATATGTGGGAGTTTCGCGCCTCTTACGGCATATGCCCGGGGGGGAGACTTTTTAGGCCAAAGTCTCCCCTGGCGGCCTCCAGCCAATACATTAAAATGGGCGAGGGGGAGACTTTGGCCTAAAAAGTCTCCCCCCCCGGGCATATGCCGTAAGAGGCGCGAAACTCCCACATATTATATATCGTCTGAAAGCCCTTGATGAGAGGAATCTAACCTATGAAGTCGCAACATGATTCATGCAGTTCTGGAGAAGTTACGAGCTGTTGAAGTTCAAAAAGCTGTTTTTTACCTGCTTTTTCAAGAGCCTGGATCTCGACGGTGCTTTGATGAATTGGTACGGGTAAGATATATTCTAGTAGGGCAAACCTTACCCTAGAAAACCTATGAAGTCGCAACATCACACATCTTCGCAATCAAGAGTTTTAGGAGTTCAAATGTCAGCAGTCAAAAATTAGCCTAAAATCGCCTAATTTTTCAAAATTCTCGTTCTCAGCGAGCACTGCTCAAATCGACCCGATTCTTTCACTATCTGTTAGAGCAACACTTACCCTTTAAAACCTATGAAGTCGCAGTTGCTGACATCTTCAACCACTTGGTTTATAACAGTGGCAATTTTGCATGATTTCTGGTTATTTTTTCATTCAAAATTCTGGTTCTCGGCAAATACTTCCTGGATCGACCTACTTTCTTCGCAGTACGACGTAACTAAATTTACTTAATAAAATCTGTAGAGTGTCGTTGAGTTTCACTTCAAAATACACCATTTCATTGACACGTTTATTTCGAATATATATGCCGCTGTGTTCATCGTATTTGTGGCCCTAAAGAGGGCCGTTGGGTTAGAGCTCTTCATTTATCCGAAGTCATCATGAAGCTTTGCTCTATCGGAGAAAGTGCTGAGGCGTATATGCGTCCATGTCGGTGATGGCCCCCAGGTGCCGCAGTGGGCGACGGCGACTTCCTAAAAGTAAACTACATAGAATATGCTCTCAATACTTTCTTTTGCGTTCGTTTTGCTTAATTTCCTTTTTTTCAGTTTCAGCAAAAAAAATCAAAACCCAAAAGTGAAGGCATTCGCGGCCGGCAACGACGTGAAAGGATAGCTCAGTTCTATGCTTCCCCCCCCCCCCCTACCCTCCCCCTCTATACCCCCGGTCAACGTTTTTGAGAAGTGAGTGTCCAGCATTACCACCCACTTTTGCTGGCCAGTGGTAGCCTGCGACCACCCCCCCCCCCCCGGTCGACATTTTCGGGAGGTGAGTGTCCGGCACTACCACCTTCACTTTTGGCCGGCCAGTGGTAGCTGGAACAACCTTCACTTTTGGGGGGCCCGGCTCCACCTATCGCACCTCTGATCTGTACCGAAGCTTCGATTACAGTTTCGGTTCCGGGTGTTTGATTCGGGTAGCAGAACTATTATTAGGTTGTAACATGAGTCATGAGACACTCTCCCTTCTCCCTGCGATAAGTCACACAATTCACATTTTCGATAGGGGTTCAGAATATCATTCGATAGAGCAAAGCAAGCTCTACAAGATATTGTGCAAAAGTTAGCACCAGCTTCGACCCACTGTAAGTTTACACCCAAAATCTGAGTCATACCAAGGACTGAAAAATCGCGAAAAATTCATATCTTTGTTCAAAAAAGTCTTACCAATCTCCAACTTGCTCATAAAAATTGCACACTACATCAGACACTCATATGTACAGTTTCTGGATTTCTCACCATTTAGAAATCGAGAAAACGAAAATTTTCATTTTTGTACGAAAACGAAACTATGCATTTTCACTCATGCAATTGTAAACTGCAAACCTTTAGGAGTTTAACCGTATATTTTCATTTTTCCACAGGCCCTAGGTTTGGAAATCTACCAATTTTAGCTCCCCTCACTCGGGTATTCCATGCTAAAATCAATATTTTTCGAAAACAAGGGCCTGTGGAAAACTGGAAATATACACCACTTATACTCCTAAGGGCTTGTAGTATACAATTACATGCGTGGAATCACCATAGCTTCGTCCTGGGCGCCTATCGAAAATGTGAACTGTATGACTTATCGACGTAAGAAGGGAGAGTGTCTCAAGACTTATGTTACAACCTAATATTTCACTTTCTTCTGTTTGATTTAGGTAGAGAATAATTTTATTTTTAGTGTCTCCACAACCGAAACAATCGATACTGTATCTAAATTTTTTTGTGAACTTAATTAAAGATTTCGGAGCTGCGCAGATTTCCGTGTTTTCTTATCAAAGTCAAATGCACATTCGTAGCTCATATCATAGTACTGAAGTGTTCCAGAAGATGTAAAAAAGTGTTTAATCGTTGTTGACTTCTGTCTCAAAGGTTGTTGCGATTTTTGAAGGCTCTGTTTCGGAGGTAGCTTCAACTCAAATTTCCGAGATGGAGCGTTTCACTAGCTCTTCATTACCGTAAAACGGTAGGAACTTCCAGCGTACGGAGTCATGCGATTTAGCTGCCGTTTCAATAATATTCAAACATATCCGAAAAGTTGTTTAGCAAGTCTTCACGCGCTGGATTCAGCTCTTAACTACAAATCTGTGAAGCTGAATGGCGTATTCGTATCGAGAACCATAGGGAACAGTTGTTACGG